GGGAGAGAGAGAGAGAGAGAGAGAGAGAGAGAGAGAGAGAGAGGGAGAGAGAGAGAGAAGTGAAGTTGGGAGGGGACACACTGCCGAGGACATGGGGGAACTTAGAGGGGAATGGGAGATGGATAAGATAATATTTCACGTCTTCATGTCTGAACTTCTCAAGAATAAAGAAAAAGGACAATAAAAGATATCAAATAAACTGGCCATTCCATCTTGGTGATTAGAAACCTATGATGGTGAGGTTTTCATACCTATGAAAAATGTGGCCTCTATCCATGTCTTAGCTAAAGTTATACTTTAGCTCCCCTCTTGACAGGTGGCAGGTTATTAACTTTAATATCTATAAGGCAAAACTTCAGATGCGCTTTGATTTTAGGATAGTTAAAGTACAAAATTTTCTGGGTGAGCATAACTATAAAAGGCTGAAACAAGGATATGTAATCTATTAAAAATTTCATGTAATTGGGGGAAGTTGAAAATGTAAGAGTATTGGGGTTTGTCCTTGATTTATATTTTTTTTGTATTCCTTGATTTATTTTTTTGTATTCCTTCCAGTTAAACTGATTTCCTCATGTTGTTTCTGGATTACAGCCAGAATCAACTTTGCCTGTTTCTAATCAAATAATGGAGCAGACAATTTACAAATTCTGACTTCAGTTCGCAGTTCCTGGGAGGTTGTGTCTGGACTGAGCCTAGCTGAGGACTGATTCATTTTGACTGGAGGTAAGTTATTATCTGCGCTCTTGACTGGACTGTTACAATGCTGACTTTTTTTTTCCCATGAGACTGAATGACAGTCACCACAACTTAAAAGAATAACCATGGGCCTTTCAGAGAGACTGGAATGACTGACAATAAAGGAAGGCCTGCAGTTTGGAGGAGAGCTTCAGAATTTAACTAGCTTCCAGTCTCTTTATATTTTGAGAAAGTTGGATGGGAGTTCAAAGTATAACTTTCCATTTCAGCCTATGAAAGAAAAACCAGAACAGACCACGTTGTGATCTGGGTGTCCCAAATGCTTTTCTTTACTTCAGCTATTTGGAGATCAAATACGTTTAGTTTTTTAAAAATATAAATTCTTAATATAAATAACAATGATACAGTTATATTCCATTTTCAGAAAATGAGGGCAAGTTTGGAAAAAGCAACATAGCATAGCAAGAGTCTCTCAGGCTATACTTTTGGGTAAAATTTTAACTGTCTATATGAAGGTTATAGCTCATGTGTAACTTCTAACTTAGAAAGCAGACTTCTTTAAATGACTTTTCCCTTCTTTTAAATGTATTGTTTTTCATTGTGTTGAAAGGTTTCCCCCTACCCTCCCTCTATTCCTCCCAGTTCCTCCCCACCTCCCCTCTCATCTGGATCCCCTCCCTTTCTGTCTCGTATTAGAAAACAAACAGGCTTCTAAGGGTTAATATAATATGATAGAACAAAAACTAACATATCTGAGTTGGACAAGACAAACAAATAGAAGGAAAAGAGCCCAAGAGAAGGCACATGACACAGAGACCCACTTGTTTGCACACACAGAAGTCCCATAAAAACACTAAAGTGAAAGGTGTGTTATGTATGCTAAGGACCTGGTGCAGCCCCATGCAGGTCCTGTGCAAGCTGCCTCAGTCTCTGTGAGTTCATACGAGCTTTGATCATTTTGATTTAGAAGGCCCTGTCTTCTTGGTGTCCTCCATCCCCTCTGGCTCTTCCATTCTCTCTGCTTCCCCCTTTTCAGGGTTCCCTGAGCTCTGAGGGGATGGATTTGATGGTGGCATCCCACTTAGGACTGAATGTTCCAAGGTCTCTCACGCTCTGCATGATGTTTGGCTGTGGGTCTCTGCATTTGTTCCCATCTGCTGCAGGAGGAGGCTTCTCTGACCATGGCTGAGCAAGGCACTGATCTGCTTCACTGTCTGGAGTCCCTTTTTTTAAAATTTATTTTATCTTCTATCCTCTAATAATGGCCCGTTCAGAACATATCATTTAAAAATTTTTGTATGCTACTAACATAATTTGTGTTTTGATTCTATTCATAAAAGGCATGTACTAACCACAGCACATTTTATTTCTAAAGTTAGACATTTTTGCCTTTACGTTTAATATAGCATAATTTGTTAAGTTTTAAAACTGCGCCATGTGGCGGTGGCGCACGCCTTTAATCCCAGCAATTGGGAGGCAGAGCCAGGTGGATCTCTGTGAGTTCGAGGCCAGCCTGGACTACAGAGTGAGATCCAGAACAAGCATCAAAACTACACAGAGAAACCCTGTCTTGAAAAACCAAAAAACAAACAAGCAAACAACAAAAACACAAAAAACAAAACAAACAATAAAACTGCTAGTCAGAAATAGGGCATGGTGGCACATGCCAGTAACTCAGCATTTGGGAAGCAGAAGGAAGAGGATTATTTTAAATTTGAGTCCAGCCTAGTTGACACTAGAAGTTCCAGGTTAGCCAGAGCTACGAAGAGAGTTCCTCAAAAAAGTCCCACACATAACACCACCC